TGATGTCACAATTTAAATAAACCTAGTATATATGTTTAAGATCATCTCATAAGATTTCATGCAAAATAGTTCATAATCATGCATTAAAGTATTTAATCTAGATTAATTAATTTCACTAGTGCCTTTGTATATAGTGTGTAATTTATCCCAAATTTGTTTGTCAGTGGTGCACGTGGATATAAATATACAATTTTCAGAATTTGAAGAATAGAAAAAATAGTTTAACAAATTAGTATTCAATTAAGCATTGATCTATCCTTCCCTACTCAATTGATTAAAAGGAATATAAGTTTTAATTCCATCTATAACATGTGATGATAAAGAATAACCAGTTAAAATTATTTGCCACATTCAGTAATCAATTGATTACAAGGAAGTAAACATATAAATTTTCCAAAAATAAAAAGTAATATTTTCAAATAAAGGTGATTGGGTGATTGAATAACCTTCCGTAATATTACAATTACAAAAATTAGTCATTGATTAAAATTCAAAAAGTTTTCAAACTTGATTTGTTAATCCCACTCTTATACCACTTGATCGACAGGGATGTTATGCCCTTATGAAATAGTCTCGAGGCTAACCAAGAGGGGGGTGACTTGGTATTTAAAAACTTCTTTAACTAAAAGAAAAATCTTTTTATATATTACAATGAAAATGAATTAAAAGAATAATAAAATATTAATCTGAGATTTCACCCAAGCACTTAATCACAGTAAAAATAAAGTACAAAAAATAAATTAGAAAAGCACACCATATTTATAGTGGTTTGGTCTGTATCTAATCTATTATATAAATCACTAAAAGCTAATGTCTTCGCATCGCATATTGCTTTCTTAGCATCCTTACGAGCCACTATATAAAATTGCATCTCACTCTCTTCCTGGAAGTGTTGGTTGAAATTGATTCCAATAGTGATGTTTGGTAGTTGCCTTCTGCCGCTTCTTATGGTAGTACTTCTCCACTATATTTCCTTTTGACACATCATTGGAGTTATCTTCTTACTTATATGAAGCTTGCTGTAGTGGATGTTGTTTGATTTCCCTTGAGCTTTATTTACTACTACATTTTTTTTTTCTCTGCTTTGTTTTTCACTCTAATATTGAAAGAATTTTACTAATTTTAAATTTAAAAAGTTTACCACCTGAAATAACAACGTTGGCTTTTGAGTTGTGGTAGAAGGGCTTGCTAGTCTTATTTTGAAGCTCTCGGAAAATGGAAGACAGTCATGGTTTTTTAACTTATAGCCACCTTTCAGATTTGTGACTGTGACAAGGACTGAGCGAACATGCTTACCATTTTCCAAAGAAAAGGATCGCTTGGATAAGGTATTTCCCATCTTTCTTGAATATTCATGGCCCAACTTTCTTCTCCATGCAGATTAGTACTAGTAATCTCTTTGAATATGAAAAACACTTTCCTGTGCTTATTTTATCATAGAAAGACAACCTGAATCTGTAAGAACTGGAAGCTCTAGAAATGTATAAATTTTCAATGGAATAATTTTCTTCGCATTGGTTTCAGTTTCTTCAAGTTGGCACTGTGGATGAAGATTTTGCTGTTTGTTCTGGCAACGTCGTGAAAGAAAGAACTAAAGCTGAGAGGCGGTTTAGTTCTGCTTCAGGATCTAAGCCAAGGTTGGAGACTCTTCAATGTGCACCAAGTAAGCCAGCAAAGGGCAACAATGGTAGTGGCAAGAAGAAACAAACTGCAAGGGTGAGTTTTGCCGAAAAACCAGTCTCGTTTGTTTCATGCGGCATCATGCAAGTTGATTCAGCTGCAGAGACGATACCATTGAATTCACCTGAAAGAAAACCATTGGCAGAAGTTGCTGAAACCAGCTCTTCAAAGCTAGGTGCTTTTGAAATGCACACTAAGGGTTTTGGATCTCGAATGTTAGCTAAAATGGGATTTATTGAAGGCAATGGCTTAGGCAAGAGTGGCCAGGGAATGGTACATCCAATCGAACCCATTAAAAGACCGAAATCTCTAGGATTAGGTGTTGAATTTGTCGAATCAGCGACCGATGAAGTGAGGGTGGAACAGACCGGGGGAATTGGTGCATTTGAGAAACACACCAAGGGTTTTGGATCAAGGATGATGGTGAAAATGGGTTTCATTCCAGGTTCTGGATTGGGTAAGGATGCTCAGGGCATGACTACACCATTGCCTGCAGTTAGGCGGCCCAAGTTGCGGGGACTGGGAGCTACCTAAGTTGTCAGCTTATACTCATGAGATAAGTTTTTCTTAGATTGTTTACATTTGATCATATCATAATAATGTCCTGTTGTTGAATACTAGTAAATATGTCATCATTTGATGTGGTGGTTGAAGGTTTTCTTAGCCATTCTAGGCAGGACTGGTTGATCTTGTTGCTGAATCTTATGCCATTAAGTTTTTTTCAATATATTTCAGGCTTAGGTCTTAATGTACTCTTCTTTTTAGATTCTTCTTGCTAATGATCTTTAAGATCCTTGTAAATTTACACACAATAAAGTTACTATGAAATCACCATCATGTAACCTGATAGGATTCTTTCCACCGCTAAGATAGCTCTGAGGGTCTCATTTCTTTTTCTCCTCGATACCTTTCATGAGAATTTGGGAAATTTTGAACCTGCTTGGCCTCTTTTTTTTTTATCTTTTACTTTTAAAAATAAATCAAATTACTTTTAAATATACAAAAAAAATTTAGGCCACCAGTCGGCCTCCTTATGGAGGGATTGTGCCCAACCTGACCTCATTGGCATTGGCCTTCACTTCGAAAGATTATGAGAAAGTGGGGTGGCAAAGTACAAGGGGTTAGGTTAATGTCACTTATTGTTGGAAGGCGGTGGTGATGGTGAAATCATAGTAGAAGTCATTCTTAAGGGAGAGATTATTACGTGCGGCGTTCGAATTGTATCGTCTGGAGGTGAATTTGAATGCGCCACATCACTTGGATGCACCGGGCTTCGGGTGACGTGACGCGTCTGGATTTGCCTCCCGACGCCGGACATAATAATTTTTCTCCTTAAGAGGGCACCGGCAGCTTGAAGTTGCGAATGAATTTCTTATAGTATTCAGCAAGACCAAATAAGTTGCGCATTGGATGTTCTAGGCGTGAAGAAATTATTACGTGTGGTCACCGGACAGTCTAGAGATCAATCAGGATGAGTCATGTCATCTTATACACAACGATATAATGATGGTATGCAGTGTATTGGTAATATGGCTCATCCTGATTGGCCTCCAAATGACGTCAGGTCACCACATATAATAATTTTGCATGGGGGTGGGCCAACTAAGTATCATTTGGATTTTGTAGGGTTGACTAACACTCCCTGCTCCAAGATGAAGTGGCCTAGGTGAGCCACTTGCATTACTCTGAACCTACATTTCGATTTTAAACATTGCTAGTGAATTAAAAACTAAACTCCTACTTTCACTTTCCTGCGTATCTTTAACAATAAATACCCCCATGTAACTAAATACTAAGAACTTTTGCCTCTCCAAAAACCTTAGCCATATCTAAGAGTAGCGAGTAGGAGAGAAATCACAAAGAACTTAATTGCTCCAGATGTAACACCGGATTTAAATGAATGCATAGAAAAAGATGTCTTTTTAACTGTGGCAGTTCAATTGATTCTTCGCATTCCCCCTTTTTTCTAAATGAATGCATAGAAAGGAAATTGCAGCAGTACTGAGTTGCTTTTGCTGTGTAGGAACATAAATATTAACTACTGTGTCAGAAATTTCATCTATTACTTACTAACAGAAGTGTTTAGTAGGTCTCCAAGTACATAGTCTTAACCTACAATATTCTTGAATGGTCCACACTTTATTGTCTGTACACAAAACAGCCTTAAAATTGACAGTTAAGTAATAGTTTTGTATTTGGATATGTTTATGCTATTACCTTTCTTCTTCTTCTTCTTCAATGCTCCTGTAATAGTTTCATAAAGACTGGAAAGGAAGGAAATGGCCATTGAAATAAGGATCAAAGTACGATGGCTTCATTGCCCTTCTATTGCCAGCACTACTGCTGCTCTCTTCTGCCCTCTTTTTATGGGATTTCAGAGGATGATTACCTCTGGATTCTGCTTGGCATATAGAAGATGTGTAAAACAGGAGAAGGATTAATAGCAGAAATGGAGGACTGGGAAACATGCTTCTTATTGTGCTAATGTTTGTTTTGGCACTGGATTCGCAGAAGCTGTTTCTGATAGTCTTACAGAAGAATGGAAGGTCAATAATGTTTAGTTGCCAAAAGTTAATTTGTCAACTTTTTCATTAATACTTGAGGTACGGTAGAACTAGCATTGTCGTTTCAAAGTTGAATGATTATTGCAGCTAAGGGGAAAAAGAGAGTTAAAGGGGATTCACAAAAATACTTGCGAATGGAGCTGATTACTGCAACAGGTGAGCTGGTCAATGGGCTATGGGGTTGTTAAGGTTGTTTTTCTACTTTCATGGGGAAATTATTGGGTTCGGACACCGGACGCCGTCCAGAGTCCAATGAAAATACGTCACATCACCTCCTATTCGGTACTGAGCTCAGTACTGAGCAGTACCGAGTTCGGTTCTGCTTAGTACCGAGTTCGGTACTGCTTAGTACCGAGTTCGGTACTGCTTCGTACCGAACTCGGTTCTGCTTAGTACCGAGTTCGGTACTGCTTAGTACCGAGTTCGGTACTGCTTCGTACCGAACTCAATATCGGTATTGCTTAGTACCGAGTTCGGTACTACTTAGTACCGAACTCAGTACTGCTCAGTACCAAGCTTGGTATTGCTCGGTATTGGACAACGTGGCTGCACCTGATTGGTCTCCGAATGATAAACTGTGTCCGGTGTCCGAACCCAATAATTTACCACTTTCATGACCACTCTGTTACCTCTCCACTAAAAAAGTTGCTAGAGCATTTCAAATCTCAAGGAAACGAGTCTTCTCAAGCTTCAATAGCTTAGGTCAATAAGGATTGATCCTATCAAATGGAAACAAACGGCCTTTTGCAGATGAAAAAAAAAAAACAAAGTCAAACATTGGACAATAAAAGCCAATCCTCGCTAGACACTCTAGCATTCAAATATATAACACTAAGTCAACGCTGTCACAAGAAGAATATATCTAAATAATGGTCAACTACTTCAATAGTTGCTGAAACTGCTCCAATAGTCGCCTTAGCACAAAATCCTCCATGGCTCCATCTAAAATTTCACCCACTACTTGAGGAGTTAATTAAAGTTGGTTGTTCCTCCCATTGCATGGTCATTTCAACGGGTGTCTCACTATTTTTTCCCTGTAAATTAGGGAAGAAAACCTTCTCATTAAGATTTCATTTCATCCCTAGAAAGCTTATGAGTGGCATCATTCAATAACATGATTGTAATTAAAAAACATATAAGTGAGATTTGCTTAGTCGCACAACACAATAAGTTACTTCTTATTTCATGAAGATAAACAACTCGATCAACTTCTTGCTAATGATGGTAAGGAACATTAAAAAAATTGTGAATATATTTCATATGAGATTCTGATAACATAACACACGAGTAAAGAAAGTTATCAGCACCTTAGCATAACAAAAATCTAGCTCTTGAAAGAATATTAGCATAAAATGTTAAAAAATTACAATAAAAATGACAATAAATAAATAAATAAATGTTTGTTCCAAAAAAGAAACGTTTTAGTTCTAGAAAATATTTTTGCAAGTCATCTACTTAATTTATAAGAAACAGCAATAACAGGTCATAAAACCATTAAATGAACACTCCTGCGATTCCAGTAGCAATACAGCAAACATCATCCACAAAGGACGAAAAAAAACTTATAGCAAAAAGTAGATAATGAAGGAAACGCATTGCCCTTGCTAGTCTATTTTACCATCTAGCAATATTTCCTATAGGACAAAAAGAAAACAACTACAGGAGTTTATCTAGAAGAAATTTGGCTAAAAAGGGAATAAACTTCAAAAATAATAACTCTGTGAATTCATAATGATGTATATCTTAATCTTACAAAACTTCATAACCTTTTTGAAAAATGACTCAGATCTCCATCAAAAGAAATACAAAATTTGGTTGAATACGAGAAGAAAGATACCACTGGACGTAAAATGCTCCCAATCAGGCAAAATGGATGCCAGCCTTTTTAAAGAGCGAGAGAAGGTACAGAAAATCTACTTGTGTCAGCTTTGAAGCTCTCTTCTCTGCAAAATCCCCTTGTTTCAGAATTCCCATTATCATTTCCTTAAAATCAGATTTCTCACTGCCTCCACCCATCATATCATCCTCTTCCACATCCATTTCATCCTCATCCTTCACACCATAGGAATCCATACTCAGGTCCTCAATCATGTCAGCCAAAACTGCTAAATCATCTGTTGAGGCCTTTTCCTCCTCCATCTGGCCATTTTGTGCCTGTTGCAAAGCTTGCATGGTTTTATAGTTCTTCTCCAACAATGAAAGAACGCTTTTCTGTTTGAAGATTGACCCGAGGGTCTTGTTCTTCCTGTTGAAGCATAGACGTATCAGCCCATCCCACTCCTTGAAGCTAACAGGTGGAAGAGGCCGCCTGGGCTCAATGCGAACCACAGAGGAGTCAACCTTTGGTGGGGGCTTAAAATTGTTTCGCCCAACTTTAAGGAGATGAGAGACACGAGCGAGGAGTTGTGTGTTCACTGAAAGCCGACAATAGAGATTGTCACCAGGATTTGCAACCAGCCTCATGGCAAATTCTCGCTGGAACATAATAACAGCACATCTGAAAACAGAATGGTGTGACAGTAACTTGAAGGTGAGAGGGGATGAGATTTGGTATGGGATGTTTGCCACACAGATGTCAAAGTAAGGAAGTTCGGACTTGAGGATATCTCCTTGAATAACCTATAAAATTAGTAATTGCAAGCAAGCACAACATTAATTGGGCAAACTATAAAAAGGTATGAATTTTCTTGAACCATACCATGTTACTTTCATAACAAATTTGAAGAAATTTCAAAACAGCAAATGGAATAATATTAAAGCGCCATTTTAATGATTGTGCAAGGTATGACTAAGAAGTTTATATAGTTGGACTCATAAAGCAGCAAGCCCGTAGTAGAGCCTTGAATAATTGTATGTCTGACACTGCTACCAAAATGTTCAACAAAGAAGTACTTATTATGAAATAATGTTTCAAATAAAAGCTAATGGCCTTCTTAACTGATGCATTCATGTTTTTAGTTTCTTTTGTTTTGATGTAATTTGAACAATATTTAGTTGTGTTTTGTTTTTTTTTAAGCTATCCAATGATGGAAAGCATCCAATGATCATGGTAGGAGGTGCTTGGGCATGGCAAGTCTTGGGTTTGCTTGCATTTGAGTCCTTTCCGTCCTTTGGGCTGTTTGTTGTATTTCGGTTTGGGCCTTGGCTGCTCTCGGTTTGGGCTTTGGCTGCTTGTTTTTGAGATAAAAAAGTTGGGTTCTACTTGGTGCTAGCTCATTAATGTTTGAGCTGAAGTTTAGCTCATTGTTTGGAGTAATTGCACTTCCTAGCTCATAAATTCATAAAGGTATGTGGAGTGAAGCTTGTTTCTTCCCATTCTTGTGCCTCCTTGGTTTCTTCCTTGTGAATAAAAGATGTGGGATGGTTGCCTTTTCGTTTTTCTCCCTGGATGCTTTTCCCGTGTCTTCCTCTGTCTCGTTTCCTGACTTAGCTCCTCGGGTCCCTCTCTGGCTGCTTTCCCGTGGCTCCCTAGCTGTGTTTCCCGTGGCTTTTTCTTCTTGTTTTCTGTGCAGATTTTGGGGGTTGTTGTGGTGTCTTTTGGCCTTTCATTTCCCCAAACCTGATTGGTTTTGGTTGGAGGTGGAATGTTTGTTTGGCTTCTTTCTTTCGCTTATAAATTGTAGATGTTTTGGAATGAATGAGGTTGTTGAATATTTGAGCAAAATCTCTACTAAAAACCTAAGGGTTTCTTCTCTTGGAAAAGCTTGAGAGCTTGTTCCACCCCCTTTTCCTCCTCTCTATTTTGTTTTGGCTTCTAATCTCTTCTTTTCTACGCAAATTCCACTCCACCTGTATCCTTCTTTTAAAGCATTTAGAAGTTGTTTGTTGGCTGATTTTGGGAGACATTTGCAGGAGTTTGGTAGGACGTTGGACCCTTTTGCAGTGGTGGACCCTCGATTTGCAAGCCTAAGCACTATTTTTTCATATACTTTCCTACTCTAGTTGCATGTGAGAAAACCGTTTGACGGTTGTTCTGAGGATAGCATTTTTATGTTATAATTTTGTTTCGTTTGATTTGACTTTTCGTTTATCCGGATGTTTGTTTGGATGTTTGCAAGTTAAAGTGAATCGAGTTTGATTTTATTGTCCTTGTGTTCTCCAACTTGGCTTTTCTTTTTAGTCTCACATATTAAAACTTCGATCACATCAACAGTACCTACATGGAGGCTTTTTTATTTAAAAAAAATGGAAGTAAATAACTTTTTTTTCCATCTAATTTGGCCAGAATCTTCATATGAATCATTTGAAGGGGACAATCATCACAAAATCAAACTTTGATGAAGTTTGTAAAAAATGACTAATTGCAATATGCTTCTAAGTAGATAGAGAACTACCGTTAAAAAAGACGGCACAAAGTAAACTATTTTAAACTGATTGGCTCAGAAATTGTAGCTCTTGAACTCAAAAAAAATGGGATTTTGATGATAGATAAATTACAGTTTCTATAAGTTTCAATGAAACTCGTATTAAGCACATAATGTTGGAAAACTAACCTTCAAATTTAATTCCCGCACATGTATCATTAAGTAAAAAAATGAATAGTGACAAAATAAGAGGCAACAAGATGAAACCGAAGTACCAGAATTCGGAGATAGAGATAATGAAAAAACCTTGAGACGATTCGAGTATGGAGTGCCTTGGAAACGACGGTTGAGTTCGAGGACCATGCGGGGATCGAGCTCGATGGCAACCACAGACTTGGAGACCTCGAGGAGCTTCTTGGTAAGGTTTCCAGTACCGGGGCCAATCTCCAGGACAACGTCAGTGGGCTTGATACCGGCCTTCTGAACGATAGTCTCAACGAGCATCGGGTTCTTCAATATATGCTGCCCCTTCGACTTCTCGAAAGGGATGCCTCCCTGCAAATGCTGCTGCTGATGCCTCGCCTTCCTTATCTTACCTCCAGCCATGGCCGACGCACTACCTTCTCAACGAGCAAGCTCCCGTCGTCTTTGTTCCTTCCGATCCAACAGAAGAAAGGCGAGGAGGTGTAACCTCGGATCCGACAGGAAGGAACTTCGTCGAAGAAGGCGAAGAATTATTTAGCAACTCGTTCAAAACTACCTCTCACGCGAAGCAGGCGAAGTTGAAGCAACGAACAGCCGGAGAAGAAGAAAGGAAACCCTAGCAAACGCGAAGCAGACGAATTATATTAATTGATTTTTTTTATTAATTAAATAAAATATATTAATTGATTTTTTTAATAATTAATATCAATTAGTTTAAATGAAGTAATAATATTGTGATTTAATTTTGTGAAAAACAAGTTACAATATTTAATTAATTATATAAATAATAAATTTATAATTAATTGGACTATTACTTTACACTAATTATAATTTAATTAGCATCAATTAGAATTATTAATATTTAATAAAACAAATTTGATATATTCATTAATTGAAAATCAAATTAATCTTAATAATTTAAATTAATATTTAAAAATATATTTAAATAATTTGATTGTTTATTTAATTTTATTGCTTAATTAATTAAATAAATTATTAACTAATGACTATTTTATATGCTTAATTAAAATAATTATAATTTAATTAATCTAATTTGGGCTGATATATTATAAATAAAAAAATAAAATAACACAATCATGTAAATTCTTAAATCTTGAAATAAGTAACTAAATATTTTTTCCTGAATTTTAATTTGATTTAATATCTATTACACCAAACATTTCTAAGAATTTAGCCCACACATTATTCATTAAATTACTAATTACTTAGTTGAATCCTACTTGCAACCAAAATGGCCCCTTAAATTAAGTTGGCTTAATGAAAATTGATTTAACAAGGATAGATCCATTAGGTTGAGCTCGAAGTTGAGTCAACATAATGCAGGGTATCTTCAATTTGATAATCAGAGTTCAAAGATATAATCAATGAATCTATTTTTTATGTATATGAGAGATAATGATGTAATTGTTCTATTTTTTATTTTTATTTTTATTTTTTTACTTTTTTTATTATATTGTTATAGGACATTGAGTATATATGTTGGGAATAATCATAATAGTTATGTTTGAAATGACATTGGTGGATAATTTTAGTGTTGTTGTTAGGTATTGAGTTTAGGGTACCCTGGTGTATGCTTTTTGCTGGTGATATTATTCTTGTTGATAAGACAAAAGAGGGACTTAAAGATAAACTTGAATTATGGAGGTCGATCTTAGAGTCTAAGGATTTTCATTTGAGTAGATCTAAAATCGAATACATTTTTTAGTAGTAATAGATCTAGTGATGGGGATTATGACTTTGGGCAATCAAGTAATTAATAAGAATACACTTTTTAGATATCTTGAATCTGTTGTTCAGAGAGATTGTGAAATAAATGGGGATATTATTAGTAGAATTCAAGTTAGATGGTTGAAGTAGAGGAATACATTGGAAATGTTATGTGATAGAAAAGTACACATCAAACTTAAGAGAATTTTCTTTAAGATGGTCTTGAGACCTGCAATGCTTTATGACGCGGAATATTGGTCATTAAAAGAAAAGCATAATACTAAGTTAAGTGTTGCAGAGACGAGGATGCTCAAGTAGATGAGTGGCTTTACTCTTAGAGACAAGCAACAGAACGAGCATAAATTTGAAAATGTTGGAGTATCTCTGGTGGCAGATAAGATTAGACAGAGTCACCGTAGATGGTTTGGCCGCATAAAATGGTGATCTTTTGATGACCCGGTTAGGAGGGTAGATGTATTAGATTTAACTTATGTTAAGAAAAGTAGAGGTAGACCTAAAAAGACTTGGTTAGAAAATATTAGAAATAACATTTTTTTTATTAGATTTAAATGAGAATTTGACTCTTAACATGATACAATGAAAAAAAAAAGATTCAAATAACCGACCCCACATAGTGGATAAAGGCTTGATGTTGTTATTGGGTCTTGAGTGATAGTGATTGTAAAATTCAAATTGAATTTGATCATTTAAAATCTTCTTGCCAAGGACAGAACTAGCCTCTCTTTTGAGAGTGACCAAACTTATAATGTAAATAAAATAATATTAAAAAATAAATGATAATATTTAATTACAAGCAAAATCTTATAATAATGTTTATAACAAACATTCTATTATACAAACTATTATTTTAAGATAACAACTAAATGCAAGCAAAGTCGAACAACTATAAGAAAATGAAGGTACCCAATTGATAATTATGATTATATATATATATATATATATATTCTAGTTTATGACAACCCATGGAAATCATGAATTCGAATGTATTTCTTGAACTAATGCTTCGACTTGAAACAAAACTAATGAAAGAATAACATTGAACTACAACATCTATATATTCTTATTTAAATTATTAGGATTAAACTGGAAAAACTAAAGAGAAACATTTCTAAAAAATGATGAACTTCAACCTAAGTCGCCTCAACATCAAAAACATGGTGGCACAACCAGAGTGAGCAAACAACTCAATATGTTACACAAATCCAACAATTGTATTCAATATAAGATAGGTAGATCAATAAGCAATTTGTTATAAATATAATTATAATATATTTTGAGTCAATATTATTATATACTAGTCCTTATACCTATTTCACATATGTAGTTATGATCAAGATCATCATGTTGTTATCATAAATTCATAAATGTTTAATGCTCATCTTATATTGGTCAACATATTAGTTTATGTATCTTATATATATATATATATATATATCATATCATATCAATTAATGTATCAGTACGTGCATCACACTTTGTCTCATCATCATGTATGCTATTGAGTCATCATATACATAAGATTTATATATCATGTGCATGTATATTAATGTGATGGTTACCATCATATTCAAGTATATCATTATCATATGTATCAATATCATGCAACATATTATCATATTCATATATATTAGTATACCATGCTCATGTGTATCAATACTATGCTTTATATCATATTTGGGACATCATCAATCATGTATCTATCAATGCTATGGATCATGTCATGTCACATTGGCAGTGTTATTGAGTATGGCATAATAGTAATAATGTTATATATAGTATCACTTATATGATTGTGAGATGTAGAATGTAGCTATTAGAATGAGCATGTGTTATTATAGGCATCATATTATTATCATATATATGTATCACTTATATGCAAGCTAGAAGGAATACGAAAATCATGTATCATTATAAAGTGTTCTCTTTACATCATCATATCAAATATATATCATTATCAAAAGTAGCATCATATATATGCATCATTATGTGTGTGTAGTTAATATATATATATATATATATATATATATATAAAGTCAAGATTATGACTAATCATATTATATTATTCATATAATTGCATAATATTACCTATCATGTAGTACTAGTCATATCATATCATATCAATCTCAGTCATAATCAGATGGCATCATATAGGAGTCATCACTCTAATCAATCATATGATTTTCCCCTTATCCTCCATCATATTCATGATCAATGTATGTTTAAAATAAAGGTTATCTTCCCATCCTCCTGCACAAGTTTCCATATCATATCTATGAAAACTTGAATTAGTCTCATTCAATAGCTAGTCTTTTTTGTATGCACATATTTCATAATATATATAAAAAAATAGAGAGAAAAAAAAATATTTCATAATATATATGCATATATATCATATTTCTTACGCATGAATAATTTTATATAAAACATAATAATAGTATTCAATAATCAATACAGTGTGCTCATTTTTATATATTCTTATTTAACAAATAAATCATAACAAATATACATGTTGTAACCAATTAAATCATACCATATATCAAGTGTGCATGTCATATAAAACTATATGTATATCCATCACTATTTATGCATGTAATGTTACACATATGAAAATAATCACTCATTACCGGCGAATTTTCTGGCGGCTTTTCGGTGGACAATTTTCCGGCTGCTTTCCGTCTGTTTTCCGACGGATTTTTGGCGGTCAATTTTTCGACGGCGTTATCCGGCGGCTTTTAAATAATTTAAATAAAATGTTAAAAAATCTATTTATTTAAATGATTTAACAAATAAGATTAAAAATTATATTAACTAATTTAAGTTAACTTTTTCCTAATAAAGATTTAAATTTAAAATTATTATTTAAATTTTAATTTATTTAAAAAAAAAATTTTTTATTTTAAATTAATTAGTTCCATTTTTTATAATTAAAAATTAATTAGTATTTTAATAAATTATGAAGTTATTAATTTATTTTAATTAAATTTTAATGATAATACTTTATTTTAATTAATTTCTATTTATTATTAATTTTAATTAAAATAATTTAGTTGAAGTAATTACTAATTTTAATTTTTCATTTATTATTAATTTTAATTAAATATACTTTTAGTTTTTAAAATAAATATTAATTTTTTGAAAGAATATAGTTTAAATAAAAAATATTCAGCATTTTATCATATTTTGCCTTGCAGCAAAATGGTAAGAGTTTAATATGAATCACATTTTTCAGGTGGACAGAGTTCGAATCCCACCATGCGCACGGGCAGGCGGGGAAGGCTTCGGTCAGCGCGGGAATGCAGCGGGCAGCGCGGGATTTCGTCTGGGCAGGCAGGTAGCGTGCCTGGGCAGCTCGGCGGTCAACGGGCATTCGGGTGGTCAGCGGCGGCCAAAGAGAGTCGGACAGCCGCCCAGGTGGCCAAAGAAATTTTTTTTTTTTGAATTTTTGTTTTAATTGTTCGACAGCCAAAGAGCACCGGAATATTTCACCGCCGAAAAAAATTCTCGACACGTGTTTTACCGGCGGAGATTTTTTCGCCGAAAAAATATCACTTTCCACCGAAAAAAGCCGCCGGTAATTGGTGATTTTGCTGTAGTGTGGATGTAATTCATTTTATATAATTTAAATGTAGTAGTCATGTATTAGTTTTGTGTGCATATTTATCTTGCATTTCTTTGAAAGTATTGTCAACTATAGAAATAATCAATAAAATATCAATATGATCATGTCAAAATATACACAATGATCAAATATATAATATAATATAATTTATATAGTGAAAATTTTCTAGAAATCAATATATCTAATATGTTACCATTGTTAATTAATTTAAATCATATAAATCCTAATGAAATCAAAAGCACAAAAAAATTCGT